AATTCTGGGCCAAATATAACACGAATATTGCAAACAAGTAAGTTCAACGATTTGTGAGTTTTTAATAGTTACTTTTTAAATAATTTGTATTACATTACAGTAATTACAACGATTGCAGGTATGATGAATTTTAAAAAAGATTGCAACGATAATCTTGAAAAAATGCTTCGAACTATTCGTAATATCGAACAATTATCAAACATTCAGCAAGACATACAAAAAATAGGAGTTGGCTCATCTAGAGGTATCTGTGGAGAACTATTTCTCGCTCATCTTGAAGACTTTTTTAAAGGTGATATTAGTGAGTTATTAATGGGATTATTGGATATGACTCCAAAAGAATACGAACAGTTTTGGCAGCAATGTAAAGCCGAGTGTATTGAATTGGGAACTGAATTTCCGATTATGAGAGCATGTGGACAGAAGATTATCATTTGATTTATCCTTAAAAGATTATTTCAGCAAAAGTCAGAAATGACGATTTATGAATTTTCAATATCAGCTTGAAAAATATATTATTGCATTAAATATTTTATGTAACAAACTTGAACTTTTCAATTTTATATGATCACAAAATATCATAAAGAATATACTGTAGCAAAAGATATTTTTGTCACTATAATAATTTTTTAATTTCTCAAAAATTAATTTCATTAATCAATAACTTTAAATTTATATTATTTTTATATATAATTTACCAAAGAATTCAAACTTTTTGTAATTATACAATTTATTTTTTAAGAATAATAAATAGTTTATGAGCTTGAATTATTTTTTACTCATATTTCTTAAATATTTCAATATTTTAATATATTAAATAATTTTAGCTTGTAATTATTACAAATTCTTATTTTAATATTTTTCTTTTATTTATTTTTATTATAATAATTTTATATTATATTAAAGTCAAAATTATATATAAATACATATGGATCAGTGCAAAAAGATTTGTAGCTCAGTATAAAAATCAATAATTACTTCTAATTAAAATTATTCAAATTTTAATCAATCTTTATAATTTTTTTATAGTAAATAAAGAATGATTTAAATTAACTTTTTATATTATTTAACTATTCTATTATACTTAATTTAATAATAAATAAAGCATTACTTATTAAAATAAAATTATTTTTTTTAAAAAAAAAGATATTTTAAATATTATCACTATCAATTTGCAATAGTAGAATTTCAAATTATGCAAGCAGATTGTCCTAGATTTAATAAATATATATTCTAAATTTCATAAAAGTTGAATCAGTAGTTATAAAGATATTAAGATTCAAATTTGAGTAATATTGGAAGAGATTCTGGTTTGTGTTTGTAAGGTAAAGTCTTAATAAATGAATCTTTAGTAAAATTGTTCAATTAAATCAAGTTATTATTCTTGAGTATTAATATAGTCAAAAATAAAGATATTGACTAGCTATACTATTCTTTATCTAAGATGAGTAGTATATATCTTACTTAGATTAAGTTAAATCAATTCAAGAAATAACAAATATATAATTTAATTAATTGATACTGCTCCAATATTTTCTGAAATATTCAAAATTATAAAGAAAAATCAGATTAAAGAGAATGACAATGGGAGCAAAAGTATTGAGGAAGTATTTTAATAGTAAAATCAGGATCTTAATAGACTTATAAATAATAATTAATAGATAATCTAATAAAAGAATAATAAGTGATCATGAAAATTTAAGATATAAATATTTATTAATTATTTAAATAATAAAAAAAAAGATATAAAAGAATATAAAAAGCATATAAATAATAAAAAATATATAAAGAGGATCTTTCTCTACAGAAAATAATAAATAAAAATAAAATATGGATCTCTAGAGATTTTTATTCATAGAGAGTATATCAAAAATATATTATAATAAATTAATAAGTAGATTTTCACTTGCATTCATCTTAATAATATTGAATTAGAAGAAACTGAATTAAATAAAAGATAAAAAGAAAGGAATAGACTATAAACTTCAATATTAATAAAGATTTTTAAGCTTTATACTAATATTTATAGA